GCGTAAAAAAAAAAAAAAATTTTTTTTTTTTTTTTAGTAATTTATTATTTTCAATAAAACTCTCGCGGGGGGAAATCTCTCGTGTCGGGTGCGCGTTTGTTTGTTCGTTTGTTTGTTCGTTTGTTTGTTTTACGTAATTTCGAAATGAATCGTTTGTTACGAGTCTAGCGCACGGGGCATTATTTGGTTTTTTTTAAATATAAAAACACGCATTGGGTTTAGGTTTAAATATGGCGGATGTTTTTTTTTTTTAAATGACTTTTCTCGTTTTTTTTTTTTTTTTTTTTATTTAGTTTCGAATGTTGGCAACAAGTTTCGAAATAGAAAGAGAAAAAAAATATTCACATATTGCACGGTTCGAATTACACTTACAAAGTTGTTTTTATTTTATTTTATTTTTTTTTTTTTAAAAGATGTATTGCCGTGTCAGTAGTAGTAACTCCCACTTTAAATCGTTGATAATAATTTTTAAAAAAGAGAGAGAGAGAAAAAAAACAAGGAAAAAAAAAAGAAAACGGAAACGGAAACAATTTTTTTTAATTTTGAAAAAATGAGAGAGAGAGAGAGATGACGTAGGGGAAAAAAAATGAAAATCGTTCGTTTGTTTGTTGACCTTTTCCGCGACTTTTAATAAAGTTTTTTTTTTATTTATTTATTCGTGAATGACGTATTCGAAACAAATTTAGAGTAATAATAATGATAATGATAATAATAATAATAATAATAATAATAATAATAATAATACAAATCACAATTATTATTTTACACCGACCGGTCATTTTGTGTGGTAATTGTAAGCGGCAAAGTAAAAAATCACTATTATTGTTATTATTATTATTACTATTATTATTATTATTTTTGTTTTTATTTTCCGTTTGCCTTGTGTTAATTTTTAATATTGATAATGGACGTTATCGTTTTTTTTTTTTTTAAATATTAATTGTCAGAAAAAAAAATTTCCACAAAAATTTCGTTTAGAGTTTTTTTCTTCTCAGCCTTTTTTTTTTTTGTCTAAAAATCCTGCGGGAAATTTTTTAATAATACTAGGGAATAAGAAAGAACGGGAATGGGATAAGGAATAATGAGATTTTTTTTGTCGAACGAATTTTTTTTTTTTTTTAAATAAAAATTACCGAATTTCGAGTGGAAAAATTTTTTCTTTTTTATATTTACTTAATTATAATTGAACCGTTACGCTGATAATTATTTCGACCAGTGAATCGAACGATGATGATGATGATGATGATGTAAATGTAAAAACGTTTTGTTAGATGTACACACTACGAAAAGTAAAATTTTTTGTTTTTTCTTGTCCACGCGTGGAAAATTGAATTTTTTTATTAAATTTAGCATTATTATTATTATTATTATTATTATTATTATTTTATTTTCGAGTCTTTTCGGTAACCTAATTTATTGTGTGTCTAATACCTTTGCAAGGTTAGAATTTATTAATTATTAAAATGTCAAAACTTTTACGAATAATGTAAACGAATTAAAAGCGTCAAGTGGTGTGTGTGTGTGCGTGCGTGTGCGTGTGGAGGGAGTGCGGACGACGAAGAGTAAATAAACACATTTACTCTAAATCTTAAAGACGATCGTGGCAGGAGAAAATAATTGCGAAGGAGGTGCGAACCTGACCTCGTGTAATATCGTTCGTAATGTAAATATAAATTAACGAAGGGTTCGGCGAGATTAAAGGTATCGATCAAAAGGTTCGTCTCCTCGGAGACGGAAACGGTTGCAATTTGTTCTTTGTTGTGCGGAAGTGACGTCAGCGACGGAGACGACGACTCGAGTAAATGAAGTAGGAAAAATTTACGACCGAATGTTTTATTTGTGGTGTACAAATAATCCGTTCGTCACCGTCATCTTTCTCGAATGTATTTCAATGATTGATTGATTGATTGATTGAAAAAAAAAATCATAAAAAATGAAAAAGGCATTTCTTGACTTGCACACACACGCACGCACACACCTGTGTCGAAACGGTCGTGCATATTTTTACGCTTGCGATTTTATCACATTGATAAAAGTCGTACCAAATTTCAAAGATATCACGTTTTTTTTTTATAATGCATGGGTTTAAAAGTTTTACATTGACCACCATACCTGTCGAACAAAATTTTGTCAAGGTTGTCGTTGTTGTTTGTTGTCAACAACAACATGAAATTATGCATTTCGAAGTCTAAGTCATTTCGCAACGTCGTAAAGAACGTTTTTTTTTTTTTTTTATACGACAAACGAAGTTGTGTCTCTTCTATTGCTTTATAAAGAAACGATTCGTTCATAATAATAATAATAATAATAATAATATTTCGAACGGTTAATCTCGAAAAATACGTTGGTGGAAATTTCATACAAAAGGTTTTTGTTGATTAGGGAATTGAACGAAGGAGGGATTATCTATCTGTGTTGTTCGGATTAGGCTTTCCCTTTTCCTGTATTTCATTTATATACTGAATTTTTTTTTTGTTTTTTTTTTCTCGTAAAATTGTTGTTATACCTCTCAAGAAGCAGAAGAAAAAATTAAAAAACGAGGAAAGGAAACATAAACAAGTTTTTTTTATTAAAGAACGCAATTGCGTTTTAATTGAGTTTCATTGAACTTGTTTATGTGTTTCCGGAATGAAAATAAAAAAGTTTTTTCTCGTTATTTCGCTAATTTAAAAACGGATCATTTAAATGTGTCGTAAAGGTCGAATCGAAGTAATTCAATCTAAAGAAAGAAAGAAAACAGAAAAAGTCAAACATTGGTTGTGACCCAATATTTGTGTTATACACTTAACGTTTCAATTTTGTATTTTTTTTTATACGTCGATTCGAAAAGAACCATAATAAGAAAGAGAGAGAGAGAGGTGAGGGGAAGAGGGGGGAGGGGAGGAAGACAGAGAAAATTTTCTATTATGCTTTCGTATATAGAATGTGTGTGTGTGTGTGTTGCATTTATGAATTTTAATCATCGAAAAAAAAAAAAAAAAAAAATTCGTGCCATTTAAAGTTTTGCGCCACGTGATTTTTCGTCGCGAATTCGAATTCGAAAAAAAAATTAGCAAACGGGGAGAAACGTGGTTGGTTTCATTGAAAAAGCAACAATAATAATAATAATGGTTTTCATTGTCGACAAATCTTTTCATAAATTTCGAATTTTTTTTTAATGGTTTGGATTTTTTTTTTTAAAAAAATGGTAGTAGTTATTTAAATTCCACAACGCGGGGGGGAAATTGAATTTTATTATTATTATCATTATTACTACCATTGCTACTACTCGGTCGGTTAAAGTGATAATAATAATAATAGAAAATTTAGCGAGAGAAATTCGTCTCGGTCGTCGCCGATGAGTAATTTTTTCAAGAAGAATGAAACTGGGGGGTGGGAGGGATGGCTTAAAATAAGGAAATATTACCCAAACCGAATTTTCTGAAGATATATGCCAGATATATTTTTTTGTTTCGGGCGGAGGGCGAAGGGGGGCCCCCCCGATAAACTTGAAAATCCGGATTTTCGAAAAAAAAAAAAAAAAAAAAATGTCGGAAAAAGTTGGCGTATAAAATAATCTCAGGAGGGAGTTTTTTTTCGAAAGTTTTCTAAGAGGTTTTTTCTCAGATTTAGTTCGCAAACGGAAAATTCAAGTGATGAGAAGGGAATTAGGGAAAGGAGGAGAGGGGGATGAAAGAGGGAGGGGGAAATGGAAAAAAAAGAAAATCACGTTCAACGACGTATAATGAAAGAAATTTCGATCGGAAATTTTCCTAATCGAATATTCGCGATTCATTTCGTGCGAGAGTAATTAACGCCAATAATAATAATAATAATAATTATTATTATTATTATTATTATAATAAAAGTAATAATAATAATAATAATAATAATAAAGCGAAACTCCGCCCAAAAACGGAAACAATTTGAATTTTTTCTCCGAGCCAATGTTTCTTTACACTCGAGCCATTAATAAATTAATTTAATTTTTTTTTTTTTTACGATTACGTAAATAAAAAATAACAAAAAAAAAAGAAAGAGAGAGAGAGGGGGGGGTTTGTCAGGAGGGGGGAGAGACAACCATAAAAACGACGACGACGACGATGGCGTCGACGACAACAACGACAAAAAAGTTGCCGACGAAAATGGAGTCGTTTTTGATTTTGTAATATTTACGGAATTAACAACACCTATTATTTATTGATGACGTCAATGACAGAAAAATATTTTATTCGGGTTAACAGAATGAAAAAAAGGTGGAAAAATTAAATTTTTCACGGGCGTCTTTGAAAAACTATATGATAATAACTATGAAATCGGTTATCGACCTTTTGATTTTTTTTTTTTTTTTTTTTTTTTTTTTTTTTTTTAATTTTTAATTGACGATTTGAATAATCGCGATGAGATGCGTCGTCGTAGGTCGAACTCTCGGAAACTCTCTCACAATTTGACGTGGAAGAAGAAAAATCAAGTTCGAAATGTTTTTATTTCTAATTTTTTTTCGAATTCGAATGCGTTTGTTTCGGTTGTTAATGATGGCGCATTGACGACGAGTTCCCTCTTTCTTCTCCTCTTTTGCTGAAGGGATTTTTTTCTTTGGGGGGGGGGCGAACGTTTTTGAAATTCCGAACGGACAAACGAACGAACGTTTTTTTTATTTTTCCCTGTAAACTAAGATAATTATATAACATTGAAATCTGTATTATTACATCATGCGTAATAGAAAATATTAATTATACAACGTGTTATTTAACCTTGATAGTTTATTTTATACAGAATAACAAATGGGAAAATAAAAAAAATTAAAAAAGAAATTTCTAGAAGAATTTCGTTTACTTCTCCTACTCCGTTCCTTCCCCCTCCTTCTCCCACGAAACAAAAGTAGTTTTATTTCAATGATGATGTCCCGTTTAACCTTTTAAAAAAAAAAAAAAAAAATATTTTTTTACGGGTATAAACAAACATTCGAAAAAAAAAAAAAATGTTATCTTTGTCATTATCAGTGCCCCCCAGCTAATAGAATGTTTTTTTTCTCCTTTCCTACGTCGTCGAATTTTTCCAGTTTTCCGCCATTTTTTTTTGTTTCAAATTTTAATTTTTTTTTGTGTGCTTTCAGGAATTCGGAAAAAAGAAAAGAAAAATCTCGAGATGCGGCAAGATGTAGGCGTAGTCGGGAAACGGAAATATTTACGGATTTGGCCAACGGTTTGCCTCTCAAGCAATCCGTAATCGCACAATTGGACAAAGCTTCCGTCATGCGATTGGTCATATCGTATTTAAAAATACAAAATTTAGTGTCAACGAGTAAGTAAACGTCACAAATATTATTTATTATTATTATTATTGTTTTTTTCCCTTTTCGAATTATAAAGTTTCCAACTCGGGAATCGAATTCTCGAGTTTGGTTTCAATTTTTATTTCGGTAACGAATCAATTGTGGAAAGTTGTTTTTCATTTAAGGTTTGTCGAGAATGGCATTCAAGGTTGTTTTGATTGCAAGGTACAGGGGGAGTCTGTGTAAGGTACATTGAGTTGGAAATGAATTTTTCCCTTCGACGTTCTTTGTAATCCACCCGGATTAAATCTTTGAGCACCCTTCGCCTCCTTTTCGTTCTTTATTTTCTTTTGAAATTTTTTTTTTTTTCTTTGACCAGACACACTAATCTAATCTCGACATTCATTTAATATACGTGTTTATTATTATTATTATTATTTTTAAATCTTGAAATTGATTCCGAAACAGCAGCGTATGATTTAATCCCTTGTTCATTTTTAATTTTTAATTTTTTTTTTGGTTTTTTTTTGTTTTGTTTACAGTACCAGAAAAAAAAATATTATCGGACAAGATTTACGATCCGTTATTTTTAAAAGCGTTGGAAGGTTTTCTAGTTATACTGTCCGCCGATGGAGATTTGGTGTACCTTTCGGAAAATGTCAACGAATATCTAGGAATATCGCAGGTTAATAAATAAAATTTTATTGTTTTTTTTTTTTTTGGAAATATTTGGATTTGTTATGTCAAATAATGAAAATAATTTTGTTTTCTTTCTGTTTTTCAGGTTGACATGATGGGGAACAGCATATACGAGTTCAGCCATCCCTGCGATCACGAAGAAATCAGAGAAGTTTTATCAATTAAATCTCCAACCGAATCGATAATTCCACGTTCGTTTTTCGTCAGGTTGAAATGCACGCTCACGAGCAAGGGACGAAACGTTAATTTAAAATCTGCCACTTATAAGGTACGCAATTGAAACAATCACGTCGATGGTGATGATGATGATGATAATTGCGATTGTTTTTGCTGTTGTTGCGAATCTTATAGATTTATTAATTGTTTTTTTTTTTTTTGGTATAAAGGTTATTCACTGTTCTGGAAACGTGTTTTCAAAATCCATGTTGGAACCAGATGAAGAATCGAATAATAAAGATGTCGACGACGCGGCATCGAACGCGCCACAACATTTTTTAATTGCAATAGGAGAACCCATTCCTCATCCTTCGAATATTGAAATCCCATTGGATAAACAAACGTTTTTGAGCAAGCATAGTTTGGATATGAAATTCACATATGCCGATGATAAGTGAGTATGGTGACGGGAGAGGGGGGAGGGGAGGGAAATTTTTCCCTAATTTCACGAAAATCTAACGTTTTTCCTTGTTTATCGACCGACGGAAAAAATGGCTGACAAAAAAAAAAAAAGCACATTCGCTCGCGAATTAAGATTTTAATTGAAAAAAAAAAAATGTATGTAATATTTCTTACCAATCAATCGATCGACCGATCGATCAATCAATCAATCAATCAATCAATGAATCGGTCAGTAAATCAATAGAGAAAAGGCAAAAAAAAAATTAAAAGAAAATTTCGATTCGAAGAAAATTTTTTTTTTTATAAAATTAATTGTATAACGATAGTGGATCGAAATTGATGACGTTTTCGATGACGTCATATGTCACGAATGAAATTTAATGACGTGATTTTTTTTTTTTTTGTATTTTGACAGAATGGTCGAATTTCTCGGATACAATCCGGAAGATCTTATCGGTAAATCGATTTTTGATTTTTACCACGCCATGGATTCGGAAGCCGTCGACAGAGGATTCAAAACACGTAAGTTGAAAAAGGTTTTGAGAACCTTTTGCGTCCGACAGCGACACAATTTTTTTATTTCTTTATTTGTTTTTCTTACAGTGTTTTCGAAAGGACAATGCGAAACCGGAAGATATAGATTTCTTGCCAAAGGTGGTGGATGCGTTTGGGTTTTGACTCAAGCGACGGTCATTTACGACAGCAAAGGACAAAAACCCAACAGCGTCGTGTGCGTTAATTTCGTCATAAGGTAGGAATTTTTTATAACTTACCTGAACTCAACCGTATTCAAAAAAATAGAAAAGAAAAGAAAATTTTTGAACGGTATTTCAGGTGAGTTAGCTTCGTATTTTTTTTACCCCCCACTACCCTTTCGACGGAGAGCTCGCATCCGTAAGCAGAATTATAATATAATTGGCAACTTCTTCTTTTGTAAAAAAATACCAAAAATATTTTATAATGGCGGTTTTATTATAAGTGTTTTCTGTATAAAATACGCGCGTTGTTGTCGAATTTCAGTCACGAGAATTGAAATTGGTTTGGCGAATAATTTTTTTTTTTTATATATTTATTTTTAAAAAAAATGTATAATTTTGCACAATGGTTATTATTTCATAGCGGGAATTTTCCCGCTACATTTATTTTTGCTCTTGGGGAAAACAAAAACAAAAAAAAAAAAAAAAAAAAACTTGGCGAACCCGATTGCGATTCATACGAAAAAAAAAAAAAAAAAAAAAAAAAAATTTTTTTTATTTTACGATTGTTCAAAAACGCACGCAGAATCCTCGTGAAAATCGGTAAATCTCTCTCTCTCTCTCTCTCTCTCTCTTTCACGTTGCTCTCCCCCGAACTTTCTCTCTCTCTCTCTCTCTTTAACTACCTCCCCCCGCCCCGCCGATCCCCCATTCAACTCTTTCCCCCGCAGTTTATGATAATTTAAAAGTTTTTCCTTTTTTTTTTTTTTTTTACAATTTTCGACCGGTTTGATAAGAGAGCGTTTGATAACCCATTTAGTAGTAGGGTCAGCAAATGGTTTTTATCAATTTCCGTTACGTAATAATAATAATAATAATAATATTTTTCAAACGTATTTGGAAATGCGGTTTTCGTAAAGGTCGTATATTCTTACCGCCGACGCCGCCGCCGATGATGATGATGATGATGATGATTCGCGGGGGAGGGGAGGGGAGGGGGCGGGAAAAAGGAAAATTTTTTTAAAAACTTTATGATCGAACGAGCCGCCACGTGGTTTTATTTAATTAATTAAGATTACGAGAAATAAAGCAGAAGAAAAAAAAAAAAAATTTTTCTTTAAATAAGTTTTGTCTTATCAATAAAATAAAAACAATTATTATTATTATTATTATTATTGTCATTGTTAAATACGCGGTATCAGGTATTTATAAGATAATCTCGCGATCAAATGTCACAATTGAAAAATTAAAAAAAAATTTAATGATAATGATAATAATAAAAATAAGTCGAAGGTTGTTGAGATGATTGGGGAGAAATTTTTTTAAAAAAATTTCGAACGTGGAATTAGAAAAAAATTAAATCAAAGGAAGTAAGGAAGGAATGAATTTTTAATTTCCGTTTTGTTTTTTTTTTTTTTTTTTTTTTTTTTTGGGAGGGGAAGAGGGAGAGTAGGGGGTTGTGGAAATGATTGTTTGCATATCAAAGTTCGGCCATTTTGTTTCTTCAGATTATTTTCCTTCCATTATTATTATTATTATTATCATTATTTTTTTCAAAACGTTCGATTTTCGTTTATCGTTGACTTAGGTTCGAATAGGAATTGCCGTTCGCTCCTTTTTTGCGAAAGGGAAGGAAAAAGGAGAAGAAAGGTTGTCGAACGTTGTCGAACGTTCTCGTCGTTGGGTGTTTGGTTACTTTATTTAGTTCTTGTGGAAATTTCTCGAATGGCGAACGCAATGAAAAAAAAAAAAAATTTTTTTAATAGATTTTTTATTTATTTATTCATTTATTTTTTGCTATCGTGTGACGTAGAAACAAAATTTCAAGAGTGTATGATGGAAACCTACTTTTTTTTAATGTTTATCCTTCTGGCGTTTTTTAACCTACTTTTATGTTTGATCGAAATGAAATGGAAAGGTTGTTGTTGTTGTTGTTGTTGTTATTGTTTTCAACGGGATTTTTATTTTTCTATTTCATATTTTTCCGCGCGAATCGCCATTGCGAAATGATATGCCACACGCAGAGGAGAAAAATTAAATTTTTTTTTTATTTCTTTTTGATTTCTTTTTGATTTTCTTTAAAAAATATGAAGAAATAAAAATCTGGCCGATATCCAGGTTTGACAAAGGGAAGAAATAAGAAGAGGGAAGGGGAGGGAAGGAGGGAGGGAGGGAGGGAGGGAAAATGTTTATGAAAACGTTATTATGTAATTGTTTGTGTGTCGTAACGTTTCTTTCTTTCTTTCTTTTTTTTTTTTTTTTTTTTTTTTTTTTTGTATTATTGACAGATTCGATTTGATCAAACGGTAAAAAAAAAAAAAAAAATTTCGAAAATAAAAACGAAAGCTTTGAAAGACGTCCCCCCATCCCGTACGCCCCCGACCCCCCCAATGTTTCGATGGCTTCGTCGCCGAACAAATAAAAATAATTTTTTTCTTCTGTTGAATTAAATTTGAAACTTTTATGGCGATTATCACTCGCGTCTCCAAAGACGTTTCAAATTCTGGTAAAAATTTGTTTTGTTTTGTCGAACGTTCGATCGTTTCGAACGTGGAAGAAACGTGGAAGGAACGTGGAAGAAACGTGGAAATTTTTCAATGGTACTTGTCTTTTACATTTTCTCATGCGACGGATGCATAACACTTGTGGCAGTAATGATGATGATGAGATTTTCAATTATTATTATTATTATTACTGTTTGTTTAACGGCCTATTGTCTGGTGTCTTCATTACTAAGATTATGATGGCCGTAAGAATCCCGTACCTAATTAAAACAGGTACTCTCGAAACAGCTACCCCGACTTTGTTGTTGTTGTCCGCGATTCCTGACACGAAACCCGTAATTACTCGTCAACATATTAAAATTAATTTTTGGGTTATTTAAGCAAAAAAAAAAAAATGAAAAAAAAAATTAAATGGTTTTGTGTTGAAATGATTAGAGAGTAAATAAATGAAGATCTAAAGGCCAAGGCTATCGTGGTCGGCTTTTTTTTTTTTTTTGCTTCTTCTTTCGTAACGAAATAATAATAATAATAATAATTTTTTGAATTTGTTTTGGCCTTAAATCAGCTCATTTGCACAATGTGGCACTCGATCAATTTTTTTTTTTTTTATTAAACGCAAAAGAATGTCGTAAAAAAGAATTTTATTTTGAAACTACGTTTAAACGTTATTCGTATTATTATTTAATTATTCAGATGATGTGTACTCTCGTTCGATCATCATCATCATCATCATCATCATTAATATCGATTTTTTTTTTTTTTATTCGGTGGTCGCGCGTCGTCGTGGTCTTTCATCATCATCATTATTATTTTTCTACGAAGGAAATTTTTTTGTCTAATGATTTTGGTTTACGCGGGTTGGTCGTCTAATTCAAGGTTTTACTGCGGTTTGAATGAGGTTTAAACCTGCGTGAGAGTGAGAGAGAGAGAGAGAGAGAGAGAGAGAGTGTGTTGGAAAAGACGAATAGAAAAATCATTTTGGTTTTAAAAAAAAAAAAAAAAAAAAAAAAAATCGAGAGATCGATTGTGTAAATTTCGTACGTACAAACGTCACAAAAAAAATCGATTTCAAACGAAATCGAGTTTGAAATAATAATAATAATGATAAAATTGCAATTTTGCCAAATAAATACAGTCGATTGTAGAATTTTTTGTTGTTTACGTTTGTCATTGTTGTTGTTGTTGTTGTTGTTGTTTTGGTTGTTGTTTTGTCGTAATTTACCAACTCGTAGGCTCTAATGCGAATAAATTTTTATTATGATCGAAATAGGGGGGGGGGTTATCGCTATTATCACTACCAGCATCATCATCATCATCATCGATTGCAGACGAAATTTTTTATATTTCGTCGTCGCGATTGATGACCGTCTGAATTGTCACGAATTATTATTAAAAAAAAAAAAAATAATCAATGCGACGAAAAAAATTTAATGAAAATTCAGTTGTCTTCAGTTGTCAATTCGAGTTCACAAAAGTTCATCGGAGGACAAATGAACTCGTTGAACCATTTAAGAAAGAAAAAAAAAAAAAAAAATTCATTCACCAATTAAAGAGAGAGAGAGAGAGAGGGAAAATTGCAATGGATGCTCGAGGCTCCTTGTTTTTTTTTTTGCTTCGCCAATAATTTGCATTAATTGCAAGATGGAATGTCGCGTCTCCCAAAAAAAAAAAAAAAAAATTTCGATTGATGGAACCAGATTTTCTTTTTTTTTTGCGCGCGCCCCTCTTTCCGTCCTAACGAGTTTGATATTTAATAGAAAACATCGAACAGGAGAATTTTTTAGCAGAAGCGTAGCTAAACGTAATCAATTCAAAGTATTAAAAAATTTATTACGTCACTCCTGTATGACGGTTCGCCAATTTAAATTGACGGTTGAAATAATAATTTAAATTTTCGCGATTGCGTTCTCGCCCCCTGTCCCCTGCCCCTGTCCCCGCCCCTGCCCCCTGTACTTGAGATTCCAGTTTTTTTTTTTTTTTTTTTTTTTTTTTTTTTTTTGGTTCTGCTACGGATGCGAGAGGAGTAACGTTTGTAAGGTTTTTAAACGAACCTGGAATTTTTTTACTTTTTTTTTTTTTCCGCTCGTGCGCGAGCAACCGTCGCGAATATTGTTATTATTATTATTATCATCATAACAAATTGAATTTCGATTAACGATTACGATGACGATGGCGACGGCGACGACGACGACGAAGGGCTATTACGAAGTTACGGCCCTGTCGGAATTAATGTAAATATGTTTGTGTCTGTGTATGTGTGTGTGTTCGCGTGCGTGGGCATTTTGTTTCGTCCGCTCGTCGAAGTAAAAGAGAGGAAAAAACGCGATTTAAATTTTTTATTTTTTTTTATTCTATTTTAATTTCGATTTGGTGAGGAACGGGGGGGGGGGCTGGGTGGGGAAAGTGTGGTGCGCGAGCGTTCGAATCGACACGTTCGATCACACCATTATTAATAACGATTAATAAATAAAAAAAGGAGAAGGATTTGGAATGGAAAGTGCTTTTACTTTCAAACGACAACCCGTATTATGATGTTAGATTCGTGTCAAAAGATGA